TGCCAATAGTACTTTATTCATACCAGTGAGATATTGGACTAGTGTGACGTAAAAGCTCGTGCTGAGTGTCAGTATTTTAAGATGTTTAATGGTCTCGAGCTTACGACATTACGTAATATATTGTAAAAACATTCGGGCCTACGGCCCTCATGTTGTTACAATATATTACTTAATGTCTCGCTCTCGACCATTAAACAATACATAATGGTCCCGACCAGGTGCGCAATCACCAAATGAGCACGCAGTGGCGACACCAAACGACTTCATAATGATGGTTGCTAGGCAGAAGTGTAAAAATTAAGAAGACATTTTCGTCTAAATAATAGAAATAAGATGGAATAGAATTAAAATTTACACTGAACAAATAAAGAAGTTGGATTATACAATGTCTTAATTTAAAAATTACATGAATAGAAGTTAGCAATTACATGAATAGAAGTTAAAAATTACATGAACAGAAGTTAGAAGTTAGACGAAAGCACGTTAGAATTTTGAATCTAATATACCGCCATACATTTCATGTCTTTGAAACACAAAACTACAGCCTTGTTGCAGCTTACGGATATGGGTAGCCTACCCGTACATGAGGCAACAAATTGTCTCTGTCACTAGGCGTTATGCACACATGTGGGGATGTTTGCTTAAAGACTGTCGTTCTTGTGTTTTAAGAATACAGCTGCTGATCTTGTACACAGCATATCAAAACAAAGTACTTTTACTAATAGTGTAAATTAATGACTTTTAAAAATCTTCCCTTATGTTCGGGAGATATTTTTATCAGGTTTTACTTTATTGGGGGATTTTATGTAATGGGTATGCTTCCTGGTTTGGTTTGGCACAAGCCAATCAAAACGGTACAGTATTTATTAGGGTGACCCGTGCACTCTACAGAAAGTTGGTCTCGACACGGCTAAGTGTGCACGCTTCAGTTGCGTGTCTCGAACTGATTTCTGACTACCCCGCACTCTCTTTGAGTCGATAAATATATCAACTATTACAGCCGTAAAAAATCTATGGACGACACTTGGAACCAGTTTTCAGTCTATTATTTATAGATGATTAATGGTCATAGCTTATTAAGTACAACATGATCGTTTATTTAGTGACTATAATTGTGTGAAACTGATTTGAGGCTTGGCATATATATATAAATATTGTGGCGTAATTGTCGAGATATTTGGATATATTTATTTGTGGTGGGTCACCCTATATTTATAATCCCACCAACTGTGAGCTGCATGTTTTGGGGGTTTTTTTTTAGCACTAGTAGAACCCAATAGAAAACCAATCATTGAACCTTTATAGATTATGAACCTTTGATTGAGGAAGATACCAATTTAGCTTTGTGGTAATTCCATGTTAGTTTGCAGGGAATGCCCCCAGTGACGAATCTAAATAATGACTCGTGTGATATTAGATTAGTGTTATTAGTCATAACGACTTAAAGGTGTGTCGCTAATCAACTCCACTTTTGTGCTTATTACTGTTAAAATAACTCGTCACAAATGCGAGTTTGCGATCACCTGTCCAACGCAAAACTTCTAGGGAAGGGGAGTGGGGTATTGAGAAACTAGGAACATATACAAAATTGTCAGTTTTACTCACCTATCGCAATCTTTAACATGGAATATCTACAAATGATTATCGAGCTTCCTTTCGGACCTTGTTGGACAATATGTCAATCTGTGCAATGATTACCCGGGACGGCACGTATTTAAGCCCACCCGTTATTTAGCCCATGGGTGACCCGTGCACTCTACAGAAAGTTGGTCTCGACACCGCTAAGTGTGCACGCTTCAGTTGCGTGTCTCGAACTGATTTCTGACTACCCCGCACTCTCTTTGAGTCGATAAATAGCCATGGTACGTGCAATTCTCTACAAATATATCAACTATTACAGCCGTAAAAAATCTATTGTTGACGATTTTGAATAGCAGTAAAATTTAGCTTATTGGTTATTACAGCAGCTTTAGAAATTACGTTTGTTTTATTTTTTAAATTGCTTTATCATTACCTGTACCGTTAAGAGCGGCATCTTTTGGTTTAGTACAAATAATATCTCTGAAACACTCGGGTTAGACAGGAACATGATACTAGCAGTAGTTTCATTTTACTTTTACAAGTTTCTTAAAACAATTGTTGAGTTGTCTAAAGTGCTTATTTCTAAATTCAATTTCTTGTTCTAGCTTTCTGTTATGTTTCGTAAAAAAGTAGTCTTGATTATCCCGACCTGTCAATCAGACGTAGAATGGTCGATAGACTGGTTAAGCGAGACTAATTTCAAAACAAGGGCACGTAACCTATCTTTTACTCAAAAGTGTCTGGATGTTATGGACGACACTTGGAACCATTTTTCAGTTTATTATTTATAGATGATTAATGGTCATAGCTTATTAAGTACAACATGATCGTTTATTTAGTGACTATAATTGTGTGAAACTGATTTGAGGCTTGGCATATATATAAATATTGTGGCGTAATTGTCGAGATATTTGGATATATTTATTTATGGTGGGTCACCCTATCATGAAAATGCTGTCTTTATTAAACTTTGAATATTCTACATGTTTTGATTGTTTTTGCTAGTTTTTCGTTTTTAAGCCCTGGGCTTAAATTCGACTAAAATGTTACCCGATGAAAACAGGCAAAATCCCGGTACGAACATTTGCCGGTTGTGGCAGCTGTGGCAACCTGAGCGCCAGTTGCGGCTAATTGAATTTCTTGGTCCCTAGTCCTAGTGCGACTGAAGGTCCACTTTACCGGGATTTATATCACATAACGACCTGCTAGAACGAAAGAAATAATACATGTTGTATAATAAATAATATTATAAGTTCACGAGACTTTGTTCTGCTTATGGGGGATCACGTGGCTAAGTGGGTAAGACGCTGGCTCGCTAGCCTGGAGGTCGGGTGTTCGATCCCTGCATTGGCCGAGAAGGTTCCACCTTGTAAGTGATGCAGGACGGAAGTCCTGACAAGGACAGCTGTCTAGTCCTTCGGACGAGAAGAAAAACCAAGATCCTGTGTATACATTGGAATGCATGAACGTAAAAGATCCCTTGGCAGTTGGAATTCGATATAAGAGTAGGCGATAGTGCCGCTGCCCGGGCAAAATTTCCCTCATAGCACACTGTATGGCGCATGCCCGTCTTTATTAGCCCAGCATAGGAGCAGAACAGTAGGACGTTAAATCCCATTTCATTTCATTTGTTCTGCTTATAAATAACCAAAATATTTTAAACCCCTATGTACATGACTCCAGAATGCCGTTTTTGACGCCGAATCCATCAGAAATAGACGAAAGATGCCGTGTGTGGAATGATGCTATTTCTGATTGTTGACATCGATGTTCATTTCGACAATCCAATATGGCGGAAATTGAAAATGGCAGCCAGTATGGCCTCTATTTTGTTTCCCAATAATTTGTATATATACTAAGCAGCAAAAGAAACGTCTGGTTGGTATGTTACTCTGAATAGACACATTTCATTAAACTTACCAAATGTTTTTATTGTATATTTGTGACCATATCTCCAACTTTACCTCAGCAATATGGCTCCTTCCCAAACACAGAATTGAACCCAGGAAATTTTCTAAAAAATGCAAACTGACTTCTAAGATGGTAATGTGTTCTCCATGATTTTCATGTAACTCATGCTGCGCGTGCTGTTCACCTGGACCGCCATGTTGTGCGACAGCACGTGCAGAAACCCTCCACACAGGCATCTGAGACAGCACGTCCGACAGTGGGAACACACGGAAGACCCATCAGTACCGATACAGTGCGCCGACGACTCACCAGTGAGAACATCAATTGCCGTAGACCTTACCGTGGCCGATCCTTGCCCATGGCCATCGACGTAAAGGTCGACTGCAGTTTGCCCAACAACACCAGAACTGGCCACATAGGCAATGGAGAACTGTTCTGTTCACAGATGAGTGTCGGTATTGCGTATCAACTGCAGATGACAGGACCAGAATATGGCGTCGACGTGGCCAACGTTATTCTGACCAATGTGTCATGGAACGAGACTCATGGGGAGGTCCAAGCATAATGGTTTGGGTGGAATCGGCCTGAACCAGAGTGTGGTGTTCCAAAATCTTAGTCCAGGGAGAGGAGGCGGCATCACAGCAGCGCGCTTCATCGATCAAGCTCTAAGACCCCACATCATACCACATTTCGCACGTCATCGAAACAATATTTTCTAGCATGACAACGCCCGTGCCCACGCCGCCAGAGTTACTCCAAATTTCTACACGAGAACGGTGTCATCGTAATGCACTGGCCAGCCCTTAGTCCGGACTTAAACCCGACTGAACATCTTTGAGATGAAATTCAGAGGAGACTTAATAACGTCGTACCGAGACCAAACACAGCCGTTGGATTGCGCCAGGCTTTTCTGAAAGTGTGGTTTCAGCTGCTAATGGCGTGTATCAATCGTCTCGTCCACTCCATATACAGACGCTGCACTGCTGTTATTGACACTCGCGGTTGACACACGAGATACCGATGTATAAACTGTGTACAGACTGCAAACCTTCTCGTAATGTCCTGGAATTGTGATGAATTAATCACTAATGTGTCAACATACTGTTAAATAAAAATTGCGTTCATCCATTTAGCAAGTCGTTTTCTAGAATGATTTGATTAAAGTGCCTCTCTGATTTTGAAATCGTACTGACGTTTTTTTGCTGTTTAGTCTATCTTTTGATGATTGTTATGAAAGTCTGGGGGGGGGGGGGGTGGATGGCTAAATGGTTAGCGTGTGCGCGCTGTATCATAAAGTCTGTCATTGAGTCAACTGGCGTGGTTTCGATTCCCCGGTTGTACGTGACAAGGAGCAGAGTTGCCTGTCCAACCTTGACACTTTTAAGAAACAAATTAAAAACAAATTCATTTTATTTTGCCCAACCCTAACTTTCACAATGCCCTCAATCACGTGACATTACCACTTGAATATTATCCCGAATTACATAAAGAATTTCATAAGCAGAGCTTAAGCTGAACTGTTTCGGTGAATAGTAACAGTTCATGCCCTGAATACGTTTAGTCAACACGACAGATAAGGACATGGATACATCCTTTAAGATATTGCTATATTTTATAGTTTCAACAACATTATGGACAACGGCAAACTGCTCTACTACAGAGGAACCAGGTAAAGTAGTAAAATTTATCTTCGGAAACTGGGGTGACGATCTTACAACCAAGATAGACCAGTTATATCCATCGGGGGTAACGCACATTAAACAGATATCATAGATTTCTCAATTATCCAACATCTGCATCGAGAGGGGGGGGGGGGTAACGTTAAAGTGACACAAATTAGGTCATTACGGGATTAACATATGGTTCAATTATATTTCAATAATTCGCTTGCGCGTAGGGGCCTTTAGCAGTTGGAAGGAACCGGGGGACCCAGAGAAAACCCACTAATTTGGACAGGGGAGCCTACCCCATCCGCACCGAGAAAATATATTTCGGTTGTTAGACTAAAAACATTAGAGAACAATTATAAGTATTTAGGAATTATCCATTTCATTTATGAAAGGGTATTCAATACTATTACTGCACTGCAAAAAAACTTGTGTTGAAACAACACAAACTTGTGTTGTTTTCAACACAAGTTAAGTGTCTCTATTTAACAACACAAACTTGTGTTGAAACAACACAAAACTTGTGTTAAATGTTGACACAACACAAAACTTGTGTTAAAATTTATCAAACAACACAAACTTGTGTTGAAACTTGTGTGACATTCTACACATTACTTGTGTTGAAATTTATGAAACTTGTGTTGAAATTTATGATACTTGTGTAAAACCATTAACAAAAACTTGTGTTGTATTTTTCCCCAATTTATATCCAGTATAGCAACCTTTCCCATGCAGCACCTCTTCTTTTGCTCTGTTTAACCTGTAAGATTTAATAAATGACGGAACAATAAATTTGTTTGTTAAATTATTATTTTTTTAAAAATGATAGGAAAAAGTAAATCAATACTGTCAAATCAAAACTATATAGACATTTGGAGTGTTAACAGAAAATTAATTCCAATACTAATGAAATTGTGTTAAAAAATGACATAATTATGCATCAAATTGAAATACTTTCAAAAACTGAAAAGTGCATCAAAGTCATTTTACAAGTGATTTGAGAGGCATCTAGAAATAAGTAGCATACACAGAACTAACAAAAGAAAAATGCACTATTGCAGGAGTTATAAAATTATGTAGAACCCTTTCCTCATTAAAAAACAAACAAAATGAATCTTTTGTACATAAAAGGAGCGCCCATTGAATAATGAAAGCACCAAGATTACACGTTATTGTAAACGAAATAAAAATATCAGAGAAAATGGAAAATATTAAATAATATGTACAAAATATTTATATAAAAGTCATAAGCAAGGGGGAGCTACATTGGTTCAGTGAGTATAAGGCGTTGGCCGAGAAATTTCATCTGGATTTACCGGCATAGTTCCCCCATGTCAGTGGTGTAGGACATGGCAAGGGATGATATAGTTGTTCGCACAGGACAATAAACCTTGGTGTGTATTTTAAAGCAAGATAGAAATGGGGTTTAGTCTCCACGCGACACAAACTGGGTCAATTAGGGACTAACATAAGGTTCAATATTATTTCAATAATTCACTTAAGCATAGGGGTCTTTTGTAGTGGGAAGAAACCAAAGGACCCGGAGAAAACCTGCAATTTTACAGGTGCGCCTACTCCTTGTCAAGTACAAGCGGGGAATCGAAACCATCCCCATTGTGTTCACTTTAAAGAAACCATGACAATTTAAATATTTTACTCAATGCCAGATCTGACCCAATGTGCGCATTAACCATTCCGCCACCCATCGCTTCCTGTGTTCATTTTAAAGAGACCTTTGAAATATTTGATAAAAGAGTAGGTTGTAGGGCAGAGTTACCATAATAACACAGAAAGGTAGGATATTAAACCCTATTTCATTTGATAAGCAAGAGAAAGTCACCTTAAAAACAAATTAAAAAATATTTAAAAAATAGGTCAAATGCATTCTTTTCCAGAACTATAAAATAAATTAATGGTTTAATATTCAAAAGGTAAAGTTGGGTTCTCTTGTTCTTATCATACATCAAATAATCTTGCAAGGGTGTTTCAACCTAAAAAAAGTAGACAATAAGAACACTTTCTATGGTTCACAATGTTTAAATAAACAATTTATTTTGCTACATCGAACGAAATGGGGTTTAACGTCCACTCGACACAAACTAGGTCATTTCAGGACTAACATATTTTCCAATTAAATTTCAATAATTCGCTTGCGCATAGGGGTCTTTAGCAGTGGGAGGAAACTAGAGAACCCGGAGAAAACCCACGAGATTCGACAGGCGACCTTACTCCTCGTCACGTACAACCGTGTAATCGAAACCACACCAGTTGACTCAGTGACAGACCGTATGATACAGCAACCACATGCTAACCATTCGTACATCCAACCCCCCTTGCCACATCGAGATTGAGTCTCTATTTTGTTTCAACTTTTGGTAACACTTATTGTGTCTTGTCCAGTTAAAGACCCATGCAGATTATTATGCTCAAATCAAATGGGTCAGAAGTCAGAAAAAAAGTCATGAGATTTGGGACTAGAGTCCAATAATAGGTCAACAACTTTCTGTAAAAAAAGACATATCACAACTTGAAGAAAATCAATGGATGTGATTGTCAAAAAACAAGCATGCCAAGTACTTGAAATAGCAGAGCCCTAGGCATTACCCCAAGAAGAATAACTAGATTACCAAGTGTACAGTACTAGTTACTAATTAAAAAAAACAAATATGTATGGTACTTACATTTTGCCTGATTATCAAGCTCTGTGAGAAAAAGTTTCCATAATATGAATAGCCCTTTCCAACTGTCTTGATCTTTCCGATGTAGTTAACTGAGAAAAAAAACATACTATATATTAGTTGACTAAAATTGACCAGACAGTTAAAAAATGGAAGTTTTAATGTGCTGGTTTGCTTTGTCACAGATGATGAGACGAAATGAAAAAATGAAATGAAATGGGGTGTAACGTCCTACTGTTCTGCTCCAACTGGGTTAATGAAGATGGGCATATGCCATATAGTGTGCTATGAGGGAATTTCTGCCGGGTATCGCGACCCTAAGGCCTACTCTTATATCGATTTCTGACAGGAGATCTTTTACATGCACGCCAATGTGAACACGGGACATCATTTTTTTGTTCAATCCAAATGACTAGACAGCTGTCCTTGTCAGGCCCTCCGTCCTGAATTTTCTTAGCCAACAACAGGAGCAAACCCGCGATCTTAAAATATGCAAGCCAGCGTCTTACCAACTCCGGCCACCATGGCTCCCCACAGATGAGACAGTCATATTTACATGACTAATTAACCGTTAGAGATACCTTACCATATATAAAGTGTGTGATATGATATTGAAACTAAAATATCTATCTAAACGGAATTATAGATTCCAAAATAATGAAATGAAATGGAGTATTATGTCTCATCAGCTCCAGCCCAGCTATATATTGTGCCAAACATTATGGTGAAATTCCAAAATACCATAAAAACAATCTTTTCTATTAGAATTGAACACTCACCCTTCAAAAACACCTATCAGAAATCATAGATGCTGTAATCATCCTTTCTTCAGCTCTTTCTTCTCCCATTTTTTTTTGACTGCTATGGCATCTAATATTGAAACTGAAAAAAAAAATAAATACATGACATGTAATTACCCGTTAAAGAAACCTTACCATATACAAACTGTATACTGGGCTAATGAAGACGGGCATACGCCATACAGTGTGCTATGAGGGAAATTTTGCCCGTGCAGCGGCACTATCGCCTACTCTTATATCGAATTCCAACTGCCAAGGGATTTTTTCTGTGCATTTCAATGCATTCACGGGACCTCGTTTTTTTTGTCTCATCCGAGGGACTAGACAGTGTGCTATGAGGGAAATTTTGCCCGGGCAGCGGCACTATCGCCTACTCTTATATCGAATTCCAACTGCCAAGGGATCTTTTACGTGCATTTCAATGCATTCACGGGACCTCGTTTTTTTGTCTCATCCGAAGGACTAGACAGTGTGCTATGAGGGAAATTTTGACCGGGCAGTGGCACTATTGCCTACTCTTATATCGAATTCCAACTGCCAAGGGATCTTTTACGTGCATTTCAATGCATACACGGGACCTCGTTTTTTTGTCTCATCCGAAGGACTAGACAGTGTGCTATGAGGGAAATTTTGACCGGGCAGTGGCACTATTGCCTACTCTTATATCGAATTCCAACTGCCAAGGGATCTTTTACGTGCATTTCAATGCATACACGGGACCTCGTTTTTTTGTCTCATCCGAAGGACTAGACAGTTGTCCTTGTAAGGCCTTGTGTCCTGCATCACTGACAAGGGGAAACCACGTTGGAAAATCGTGATGAACTTTCTCGGCCAATGCAGTGATCGAACACCCGACCTTCAAACTAGCGAGTCAGCATCTTACCCACTTAGCCATGTGATCCCCCTGTGTGATATGAAACTGAAACTAAAATATCTACCCAAAACCATTTGAATCCCGAAGATCTTACCCAAGCTGTAAAAATTAGTTTTAATAACCCATACTGGTCATGTGACTGGACTGTCACAGTAATTAGAAGAGAGCCATGTGGCTGAGTGAGTAAGGCACTGACTTGCTAGTCTGGAGGTTGCGTGTTTGCTCCCAGTGTTGACCGAGAAAATTCATTTGGATTTTTCAGCATGGTTTCCGCTTGTCAGAGGTGCAGGACGGAGGGCCTGTCTAGTCGTTCGATGGAACATAAAACCGGGGTACACATGTAATGCACGTAATCGATCCGATGGTAGTTGGAATTTGTAGGCTGTAGCACCCATGTTACCATTTGACTGCCAGTTTGTGATACCCTCACATTTTTGTTCTGTGCATTTCCCTTGTTGGTTTTTAGGGAATCCAGTTTTTTTTCTAGTAAAGCGGTGGACACACTAACCAAATGACTCGCCCGAATCGTTTGCCCGAATCAATTGGCGCAATTGAGATTCATCGGAATGACATTCGGCTGAATGAGTGGACACTCAAGACAAATCCTTCACCCGATTCACCACTCGATTGCATCACCTTTCACATCACATGATTTAACATGGCCACGAACATGTCTTCAAAGTTCAAACAATCGCGTAACTTCGCGATATGAGTGGCGATTGACGAATATATCAAACATGTTTGGTTCGGGCGAATCATTCGGCGGAATGTCAGCAGTGGACACACTCAGCGAATTTCAGCGTCGATTGATTCAGCCGAATCCTTCGGCTAGTTAGTCCAGATTTAAGTCTGTACGTTCTTTAAGCAAATATTATATTTGAAATAGGTCATACTTTTATTTGATTCCCTGTTTGAATGTGACTAGGAATAGGGTCGCATGTCCAGCCTTGTCTTGTGGGTTTTCTCCGGGTCCTTCAGTTTCCTCCCTTTGCTAAATACCCCAAGCAAATCATTCAAATAAAATTGAACCATATTATAGTCTCAAAATTACCTAACGCCAGTAAGTATAAAGGATCTATCCAACAAACACCAACTCTAGGTTTATGCAGAATTAACACAACATACAATTACACAGATGGTAATAGAATAAGACTGCGCTCAGGAAAAGGTCGGAAACGGAAGTACCCGTCGGACTTGATTCTAGGACATATATATAGCATAGGCCTACTTGATTCCACGAATTTAATACAAGTACTGTACCAGTACATGTATGTCAAAGTTTGTGTCATGTGAAACTTTAAACCCCATTTCTTCTCTCTCTACTGGATATAACTATGTGATAAATCCTTTTTATCGTGGCACTGAATCTTTACATGCATCATATACAGTAAGAATTAAATTATTGGGCATTATTAAAAAAAATATATATATAAAAAGAAAATTAAATTTTTACCAGTTTTTCTTTGTGCAGTACATGCTAACATCAATGACTGAAAAAAAAAAAATAACGAAACTATAGAGAAACTTAAGAAGACAGGTGCTAGTTCTATCACTTAATATTAGGCCTAGGCCTAACAACAGTAACAACAGTGGTTCAATCTGTGAAAGTCTAATATTATTACACATTGACATCAAAGGTTGATTTGTTTGTTGTTTTTTCTTTTACAGAAATCAGATTACATTTCAACTAAAAAACTAACACAAAAGTTATTATCTAGCTATAGTCCATGTCTGGATTTACATGTATTTCTCATTTTTCGAGAAAGTCTATGAAAATCAAAGATGGCGGCCAAGGCAATTGCCCGCGTTTATGAAATCAAGACAGATTCTTACCTGCTGGTCCTTATCGGGGTGTTTCTTGCAATTATAAGTATTTGAACAACGATGTAGAGCCGAATAACTAATAATAATTAAGCACGATTTCAGAAAAAAGAAGACAGATTCATTAGATTGCTGAATTACCGGACCGCCATGTTTGCACTTCTGGTGAAAGTTCTGAATCTGACTTGTTTGTTTTAAACGAAACGAATTATTAATATACATAGAAGCAATATATCGATGCTAAATTAAATAGGCCTGCTCGATTTTATTTGATAAAAATTTACAAACCTGCAGTCTTGTATTCTCTGTGACCATTATATTTCTCAAAACCCTCTGTTGATGCTAACTTCACTAAGCCTACTTGGCTAAATGCACACTGCTGAGTCAATTTTTAAAAACACCTGGGTGCCTTAATTGTGTGTGTGTGAGTTAGTTGTATTTTACGTCCGCTTCCATCGCAGACAAGGTGCCTAAATGTGTGAAATAGCATTATTTAACGTCCGCTTCCACCGAAGCGATATCGCAGACAGGGGTGCCTAAATTCACATGTAGGCTTACACTAGCCTATTCCTTTGATCTATAGTTTATTGGACCAATAAACAACCAGACATTTTAACTATACAGACAACTTAACACCAATTAACACCCAAGTCTGTATGGCAATTGTCTGAGTAAAAAAAGGTGAAAATAAACAGTTTGGTCTACCGTGATTTACAGGACATGCATATGGTTTCAAGGCTTTTACTGTTTTACATATTTTAAATGATCACGAATTCTCGCGTGTGTCATTTTAATGAATCAGTTGATTAATTAGTACATATTACTTATTTCGTAGTTAATTAGCGTTTGCCCTGTTAACATCTATTTTGTGTTTAGTGGATTATTGGATAATTAGGATCACTCTATACTGTAAGTTATACTTCATTTTTTTCTTTACTATTATTTGTTTTAAATAACTTAGTTAATTTCGTCACCTGAACAACTCAAGTTAGCGGGCGGGCTAATCTTAGTTGTTCAACAAAGTTAGGCTTCAGACTTTCGTCCTTTTCGACTCCTTCCCCAAATCCCGCCCTATTCCTCTCGTCCTACAGCTGACTCAACTTAATTTTATTCTTATCATATTTTTAGCTTATTTTCTCAACTATTTACCACCTATATTTATATTTTTTGGAAGAATTGCATTTATTATGGCCATGAATTATTCAAACGCCTTGGTGAACTCACCAAGACAACCCCAACCAGCTCTCGCATCAAGGATGGTGCGTGATTACAAATACATTGTGCTATGTTCGCCTAAAGAGGGGAAATCCTTCAAGGGCACAAAAGTCTCGAAAATCGGAGATGTAATTAGGACAAAATGGGAGACAGCAGCTCTCCCAGACATCAGAATACTGGCAAACGGAAACGCCAGACTAGGATTCCAAAATATGGAGGACGCCCAATTGGCGACAAACATTAAAACGTTAGGGAATATAAAGGTTGAAATCTCCATGTCGGAGCATAACCAAACAGACAGAGTAATAATATATAACATTCCAAAAGATTACACAGACGAGAAGATCCTGGACAACCTCACACTGGGAGGTTACAAACCCCTGGCAATTTACCAATACCCGGTACGACCAGGCAAAACAATCAGGACGGTCCAACTAACCTTCAAAAAGGATGATACCCCGCAGGGTATTATCTACATGCTATATGAAAGAAGGTCTGTTCACCCATATATACCCAAAGTAAAAAGGTGCATAAAGTGCCAGAGAATAGGACATCTAGAAAAATTCTGTAGGAGCACAGCTATTTGTGGCAAATGTGGTAACAACCACAAAACCGAGGAATGTAGGGCCACTCAGACAAAATGTGTCAACTGTAAAGGGAATCACGGAGCTGATATATAAACACAAAGTCAATCTTGACCATGCAGTACGTGCATGGCATATCTCACAAAGAAGCCACGGCTCATATTAATAATAAAACCATACCCGAACAAAAAAAAGTAGTAAATCCTCCTAGCAAAGAGGAAGTAACAAAAGACAACAATAAAACTTTCACTCCCCAATTTAAAAGCATAAAAGAGTTTGTCAACTTCTGCAAAGAATTGACTAAACTAGGAAAAAATAACAAATGAGGAAGAAAGAAACATAGAAGTAGGGAAAGTTATAATAAATCATGTAACTAACACGTCAAAAATGAACAGTTACCCAAACCCCATCAAAAACAGGAAAACTCCCTCAAACAGAAAGGGCTCCAGAAACAGAAGAAACAAATATGCCCCCACCCTCCGCAACTAAATCAAAGGAAAACCGAAGAAGCCGTAGTCAATCAAGACCGGCTAAAAGAAACATAAGTTCAGTTGTCAATGAAGACGAAGACAATTCGTTAAGGCATGGAAACAATCCCATGATTACTGACAATGAAATAATCAACCAAGACAAGCGTAAACAATAGCGAAGATGTTTTCTAAAAATAATCTAAAATACTAAAACAACAAATTACTAACAATTAAAATGGCGAAGCCAATTAATATCTTTCAACTTAACGTAAATGGGCTGCGGTCTCGTTTGATAGAACTCAAACAATATGTCTATCAAAACAACCCAGACATACTATGTATACAAAAGACACGGTTAACTCCCAAAAACAATGATATCAATTTGGACAGTTACACAATGGTGAGGCATGATCGACCGGGCCAATCATAAGGAGGCGGTCTCGCCATCTATGTTAAAAACAACATCCCTTTTAGCAGATTAACAATAAATCAATCAAGTAAATTAGAATTAATGGCGATTGACATTGCTATAGGAAACAAACAAACTTTAAGCATAGTAAATGTCTACAACCCACCAGCTACTAAAACAAAAAACAAAGACTACGATAGGATTTTCAAACAAATTCCGGGAGACAACCTAATCATATGTGGGGACTTCAACTGCCATCATAAGGCATGGGGCTCACCAGCGAGCGACACAGATGGGAAGGAACTGTACGAGTACATAGAAGGCAGCAGCCTTCTACTACTCAATGAAAACAATAGCGAGCCAACTTTCATAGGGAAAAACTGTAAAAAAGGAACCCATATTGATCTGACACTAGCCTCAACAAAACTATTCCCTCATTGCAATTGGGGAGTAGGAGACGAAACATTAGGCAGCGATCACATAGCAATCCACACCGCCATAGCCTACACCGCCAACTCAGAAAACCTCAAATGTCAGGCTAAATGGAAAATGGACAAGGCAAACTGGGAACTATACAAAAAATTATGCAATGGCTGGGACTTCGAGTCAATAAGACATGACAATATCGATACCTTTTCAAATAATCTAACTAAGGCAATAATTGGATCAGCAGAGCAAGCTATCCCCCGAACTAAAGAAACCAATAGGAAATCCCCCAAACCTTGGTGGTCAGAAAATCTTCAGACTCTAGTCAACACCCGAAAATCGGCACTAGGAAAATACAAACGTAGGCCGAACGAGGAAACAAAAAATGACTACCATGAGGCTAGACTGTCCGCAGAATCAGAAATCAAACAAGCCAAAAAAGAAAACTGGCAAAAGTTTTGCGGCTCCCTAAATGATCGAACAAAAATTAAATGAATATTTTCATTGTAAAATGTCCCATTTTTGTTGCCGGGAGCGCTAGTTGATTCCTCCTGTGATGGAATTCGGAATCCCCATTGCAGGATTCCGAATTCCGGCCCACACCCAGCACACCCGGCCCAGAAAGTCTATTATACCAGCCCATTCCAGACTCCAGTGATAGCGTGGCGGCCCGTTGAAGACACCGGCCACATCATCGTAGTTCCATGGCCGGTCCAATACATTCCCCCCCCCCCCAACAATATAATGTTCAGCAGAAAAAGGTTTTTTTAGACGAATTGTACATTGGCCATTGATCACAATATGTCCCGCATAAGACTAGTTGGGCATTGTAGGTGGGTCATGGGGTCAGGCATTTAGTAATTGAAGCATAATCAAATAACACACTATTTATTGATAACAAATTCTATAGTTTAATTCACAAGTCCTTACCAAGCATATAACATTAATAAACAAGCCAACAGTGAGGCTGATGACCCCGTCGAAATCCCTAAATAAATAGATGACCCATATTAATTAATCGCAGATTTATTTTTTTCAAAAGTATCGAGCAATCAAACTGATTATCAACTATACACTAAGTTCCATCACTCTCTATCAGATAGAATCAAAGTTATCTTGTCCCAAAGCATCGATCATTGAAATTGCTTAGCTCTGCTTAGCTTTAGCCCGAAATGTTAATTACTGAACTGAGTCAAGACATTCAGCTAATGAACATTTACATCAAGTTTAAGCATTCTACCTTAATTAAAAGCAGAGTTATTGCGTTCCAAAGTCCTGACCAATCAAATTGCTTATCGCTCTTTAGCCTAAGCAGAAAATTCTCACGATCGAACTTAGTCAAGCTAATATCGCCCTCACTTCATTATAACCAAAGTTATCATGCCCCAAAGCATCAACCAATCAGATAGCTTATCTCTGCTTACCCTAAACAGACAATGTTCATCATCGAACTCCATCAAGGCATTCAATTAATGAACGCCTACACCCAGTTTGAACATTCTACCTCAATTAGAATGAGAGTTATTGTGTTCTAAAGTCTCGGCCAATCAAATTGCTTATCGTTCTGCTTAGCCTGAGCAGAAAACTCTCATTATCGAACTTAGTCAAGGTATTGATGTAATGAAACTATACACCAAGTTTTATCACTCTCACTTAATTAGAACTAAAGTACTATCGTGTCCCAAAGCATCAACCAATAAAATTGCTTATCTCTGCTTACCCTAAGCAAAAAATTCTCATCTTCGAACTCCATCAAGGCATTAACCTAATAAACACCTACACTAAGTTTGAACATTCTTGCTCAATTAGAAAGAGACTTATTGTGTCCCAAAAAGTGTGACGGACGGACAGACGAACCCATTTTAATAGTCATCTGCTTTCTTCGAAAGGCGGGGGACAATAAAATGAAAAGAATATGGCTATATATATACAAGAGCGGTGCTGACCCTCCAAAGGGATGCAAAGTCAGCTAGTATGGGCATTGTAGTGTCCCAAGCCGTTAGATAATCAAATGCACATATACAGGTATAAACTGTAATTGGTATAGATAAGCACAAGAACAAAAGATCAAAAAATTATTCAAGCGGTATAATGAACCACGAGCAATAGGCCATAACAGTAAAAACATGATAACGACATGTAAAATCTTGTTGAAACGTCACAGTGAAATAAACTATAGTAATTGTTATCCACAAATAGTGTGTTATTTGCTTAAAAAGACACATTACAAGCTACATTAAACAGAAAATCGATCATTTTACGGAAATTCTGGCCGCCATTATGAATATTCACCATCTTGGATTTTTTTAAACACTCTGTGTTTTGGTTAATTTTAATGTCAGTAATCCCTTTCAATTGGATATTACATGTAATATCAAACTGTGAAATAACTATTATCTGACAAATTGGCCATTTGAGCAACTTTTGCCCGCCATTTTGAATTTATGCCATCTTGGATTTTGGACACTCATATTAGAGATTATTTTTTTATGATCAATGTTTCTGATATCTAGTAAATCACTTTAGTTGACCAAATAGATAATTTGGCTTATATGGGTCTGAACAAGATTTTTTTAGTAAAATTATGAACAGACATCATGAAAAAAAACCCGAAAATATTGCTGTTTTCAGATCAGTCTTTTATTTTGAAACCGAAAGCATTTCTTAAACAACACAAGTCATATACCAGCAGATTTAGAATTGTATTATGAACATTTTGAGCCATTTTACATATCCATAGGTGAACCTGTTGAGGAGTTGTGGAGGTTTCCCTGACTTGCACTATTTCAAATAAAAAAATGGCGGCCATTTTTAAAGATGGCCGCCAAACTCACATTTGGCAAAGTGACCCGGATGTCCATCAACCAATTTTGGACACTTTAGACCTAAGGCTAACTGAAAATCATGGTTAAATTTATTCATCAAATTGGTAATGAAAATCTGTCTGTCACATGGACTACACTTACTATTTTTTATTATTAGTTTATAATGATTCCCCGCCCCCCACGAAGCCTTACTAGACAAAATAACCATAAAACCACAGTAAGATCAGATACTCTCTTTTCTCTAGCTTTGTTTCAGGCGCTGGATTCTTCCTTCAGAGAACCAACAATAAAAGGAATGAATAACAGAAATAAAGATGTAACAACGCCACCATACCGGACAACATACCCAAATGGAAGGAAGAATGGACCAGGACTCATACTCACCAACAAAGCCCCAAGATAGAGTTGCACCGCCCTGCCATTCTACCGGACAGAACGACCAGACCAACCCAAACGACCCAAAATATATATATATGTACATAATATGTCTATGTCTGTGAAAATGTCCGTCTTTGTCCATGTCTGTTCCGTCAAATCGCATGCTTGTGAATGTCTACTGGCACCTGTTTCGTCCTTTGCACATGTTATCCTACTGTTGTTTATTGTCTTATGTACATATATATGAAAACCTAATTATCCTATTATTTCTCACTAATCACATTGTAAATTAATGCACCTTGTACACATAAAACGTCATTGTCTGCGATATTACCTCGGTGGAAGCGGACGTAAAATACAACTAACTCATCATCATTAATTAGTACTCACACCCATCCAGTTAAGAACAGCATATAATTTTCGGGATTCGAGTTAAGCCCTTTATTACTTTTCTTAAACTTGTGGACCCCCGAATTCAGACTTTGTATGCAGTTTTTTTTTAAAAAGAAAACAAATTGTTGACGGTACACATTACTTGTGTTAATTATATGAAAAAACCCACAAGATTTTAAATCTACACAAGTACTTGTGTTAAAACAATGAAAAACCACACAAACTTGTGTAGATTAGTTTTAACACAAGGACTTGTGTTGAGATCCAATACAAGTTTTTTTTTCAGTGTGTTAATTTAGATTAGTTAGGAATGGCGGTATCTCAGTGACTAATGTGACAAAGTACTCTTTAACTTTCATCAAATTGAACGTTCATTTAGGTGCATAGAACTTAGTGGCCTAAGCAGTTTTTGATAATATATGATATTGACTTTCCAACTCTGTATATACTTCTGTTTAGTCACGTTCTAATTAAACATGTAATTAATCCCATATGTCATTTACAAACTACATAATAATATGATCTGTGCACACGCTCCGCATTATTTCAAAGGAATACACACTGGTCAGTAAGCATGCCATGACGAGATAAAAGAAACAATTACATGTATGACCACGAGTCTTATCTATTGTCCGAAGGTATATAACGAGGAATTTGCTGACAGTTAGATAGACGACTAGACAGAGCGGAGAGAAGAAGAGAGGCTTTAACTAGTGCATGAATTCAAAGGGGTGGAATGGTGGATTTAATATTGTTGTGTCTATAGTTCCCGATGTAGTTTAGTTCATGTTGTATCTATGTAACTGTTTGATATTCTGATCCGATGTAAATAAATCATATATTTACTAAACTGGTCTACTTTTACAGTAAGGCGTTTGCTCGCTAGCTAGGAGGTCTCGGGTCGCTCCCGGCGTTTGCCGATAATGTTTTTCGGGAATTTATTGTATGATTTCCCCATCTCAATGGTGCAGGATGGAGGGCCGGACAAGGAACAGTGTCTAGACGTTTGGATGGGACGCAAAACCGACGTCCAGTGTACACATTAGCGCACACGTAAAGGAACCCTTGAAAGCTGGAATTCGAAATAAAGGTAGGCCGTAGTGCGGCTGTCCGGGTAAAATGGCGTATTACCGTCTTCAGAACAGTTGGTACAGAACAGTACGATGTTAAACACCATTTCAGTTCATTTCACTTGGTTTGGTTCAGATTATGCTAGATTGCTCTCGTTTCAGATCCGTGCATGGTTGCCTCGCCGTTTCCTCATGTCCAGAATAGATCAACTACGTACAATAAAACCTTTAATATTAATGATAGATTCATAATTCCTGGTTGGTATGGATTGCCGGATTTAGCAGTACCCGGCACTGCTCCCGAATACAAGCATTGTGGTACAAAATATCCCATATATTTAAATGGTAAGTCTTATTATACCTATATAACGATTGATGTAAGAGGACGCCGTAATAATTTAGATCTGAAAAAGGCAGTATTTGAGAATATACGTAAAACAAGTATTAGCACAGAGCAGGGATTCTAAACCAGTGTGCCGCGAGATCCTCCTTAAGTGTTTCGCGGAATTTTGAACGGCACACATAGAAAATGTGAAAAACCACATGATCATATTGAGTATTTACTGGTGTCTACTGATAAGTTCATACGTGTGTTTTTCTTTATTTAGTTCTAGTCATTCTATGTATCTATGACTTTTCTCTGTCTACGGTTGTATGTCGTTTGACTTGCCATGTTTCTATTTTGCAAAATTCAAATATTTTTCATATATATTTAGCCAGGTGTGCCGCTATGTTTTCACGTATTCCAAGGTGTGCCGTTGGCAAAAGAAGGTTGAGAACCACTGGCTCAGAGTATTCCCAGGTGATAAGCGGACAGCGGTTACTCATTACACTGCCATTGCTGCCCTTTATCTTTGTTCTGTTGGGTATTTTTCCCCAAATGCCTTCTTTATGGCCTTTTAGCAAATCGGTGACATGTTTAAAAAGAAGCGGCTGACATGTAAGATGCACACACATTTTGCGAGAGATCAAAAGAAAACCGGGAAAATTATTATGACTCATCCGCTCATTTCACCAATGCTTCAGATCGTATTTGAAAAAAAAAATCAGTTAAAGAGTTACCGTTATATTTAATATATGTCATATCTGACACTATCCAATCAGACGTTCACGCTGTGTACTTGTTTACTCAATGAGCAGTTTACTCTGGTACACTGTACTGCTATGACGATGTTTATATATCTTTATAACATCCATTATATAAAGATTATATACAGGAAACTACACACACCTATGACATTAAATATGAGTTCCCCATCATTCACCGAGTGTTTTGGGCGAGGGTTACGCCCCCCCCCCTTTTTTATGTGTCGCTGTTTGATGTTCTGGCCGACCTCTAAGCCGAGGCGTCTAATGATATATCTCTTGAGGAACAGTACATGTTGTCTCTATCCCAGTCTCAAAGCCGAGCAGGCTGTGGGTATACACCCTTCTAAAAAAACGCATGATGTCTGAACCCCGAATAATGCTCTCCCTAGGAACAGTGAATGATGTCTAAAGCGAATTTAATCGCGCTATTTAATTGATATACATGTATATGGACCATTACCATATTTGGGTAAGTGTTTTATTTGGACACCTTGTTAGGTCAACGTTTTTTGTTTGTTTTTTTTAATATATAATTTGAGTTATTTGTACTATAACAGATTTCTGCTCATTACCGTAATACAGTTTTAACCAAAAGTGACAATAATAACCCACTTCCTAACACAGGTTGTGGCAGGAACTGTGAGTGAGTTAGTCTAAGAAAGTTGCCAGATAATGCAAGGTACCTAAATAGGTCTGCTGTTACCAATTTGTAGGTAACCACTTCCATACATTGAACAAGCCACCTTTTTTAGAACTTAAATAACCCCTATAGTATGACACATAAATACATATATTTTACGTGTCATGTAATGCGGACACAAGTTGTCGCCTGTGGAGGGTCCACCAAGTTTGTACATATTTCTCATTTTGCGTAATTCAGGCACCAAACATCCACAATATTGATCCATGGGCACTTGACATGCATTGAGAGTATGTTCACAGATGAAGAACTTATTTCCCCCAACAGAACCACTGTGCTGCATATGCGACACGCATTAACGCCATACACGTGGGAGGGGTTCATTGCCAAATTTGACACTTCAAGGAAGGGTTGATGAAAACTGCCGCGTGCTGGTTTATCTTATCCATGTTTACTTTCCTATCGGTTCTTGCATAAGATTTACTGTTTAGCGTATCTTTGCTTTAGTGTGTTTTGTTGAATTTGCAATGAGACGTCTTCAACATGATGATCGTCTACGTGCTATTGGTATGCTTCAAATGAGTTCTACACAGCCAACATGCTTAATGTGTCACACAATGTTGATGATAGACCTCGTTTAGGTCGTCCTAGAGCCACTACACAAGCCCAGGGTCGATACATTCGTACACAGGTCGTGCGAAATCGAGGGAAAATGGCTTTCAGTAAACTTGTACCAAGTTACAGGAATTCGAGTTACAAACCATATGATTAGAAATCGGCTACATGCAGCCCATTTCCATGCGCCACAACCGCGTGCCTCCACTAACTCGCCAGCACATGGCAAACAGGTGGCAATGGTGTAGGCAGCATAGAAATTGCAGTAATCGTCGATGGGCGCGTTTAATGTTCTCTGATGAGTCCAGATTTCACTGATAGGCGTGCTCGCGTTTGGAGGCGTGTAAATGAGCGTCATGCTAACGTTAACGTCAGTCAGCATGACAGATTCGGGCGTGAGTCTGTTATGGTGTGGGGAGGAATCACCATGACTGGCAGAACGGACCTGCATATTGTTCAAGGAAGGGTCACTGGTGTGTACTACCGTGACCACATCCTGGCACCGATAGTTCTGCCATTTGCTCAACGTGCAGATTGACGTTTCATCTTTGAAGATGATAATGCCCGTGCCCAACGCGCTCGTGTCGTGAATGACTACCTCCAGCGTTACCATATTGTCAATATGCCTTGACCAGGTATAGGAGTCCTGTCCATTCCCCTAAAGTGCGTGTCTGGGACATGATCGGGAGACGTGTTCGTCGACGTCAACACTGCAAGAATTGGCCATGTCACTGCAAGATGAGTGGGCCAGATTGCCCCAAATGGTGATTGGACGGTTGATTAGGAGCATGGCACGACAAATTGCTGAATGTCTGAGGATTGGTGGATCAATTACTCATTATTTAGACAAAAATCAAAAACGTCCATTTTCACATTTGATAGATAAAACATATTCAAACTAATTCATTTATCATAATTTTGCTTCAAATCATTCTCAAAATATTGCAATTGCCAAGGAATACCCTTACTACAAAAAAAAATCGACCAAAAGAGGTAATGTTTGTGTCACGTGACTTACCTCTGACGGTACCTAGCAACGGGGGCGAAGTCGGAGGAGAATTCATTGCATACACAAGACGATGTTGTCTTTAATCGCTGACTGTTTATTACAAATATCGAATCCTAATTAAATAATCGGATTATCCACTCTTCATAAAGTTTATCAACATGTACATCAAGCGTTCAATCGCCGCGTGCGACCTTTGACGTCACGCGTGCAGACACTCCTAATCGCCGGGCTATCGATTAGGGAAATCCTTACAGTTTGTCCTGTATGCGCTCCATGGGTGTTTTTCAGAGCATCCAGTATTGGATATTTCTACTTTCCATATATACCACAATTGTCATACTTTTATTGGAAATAACCACCCGATAAATACTTGTCTGGGAACCTATCTTTAAAATAGCCTTACGATTGTTCTAATATTTCTGGATATATATACTCTCAGGTAAAAGTATATAGAAATATTAGGTTTTTAGAAAGAAAAAACTAATTTCATCTTAGCTAGCGCTTTCGCCTACTACGGGAATCATCAGGCATTTAGTAATGAGATAGTATACAATTACATGTACATGTACATGACAATAATAATATCAAATATAAATATTTTAGAATATCAAATTACAATATAAAATTATGCAGCATTTAATTTAGGATGATACTTGTTAATAAAATGCCGTTCTTTATTTTCTAGCAAATCATTATCCGACCAGTTGAGTTTATACAAGGGGAATACTCTAAATTTACCCTAAATTTTCCCTTTCACCAAATACAAAATAATGCCTATAAATATAATCTTTTCAAAATTGAAAATCATGCACTAAATAATCTACGGGCAAATAATGACATTACCATATAAGAAGCGGACAAAGGCGGACCCATAGTCCTAATGAATACGGGATTTTACAAAGCCAGAATAATAAACATGCTTGAGGATAAAGAATACTATGAACCGTTTGTCACTAAATATGAATTTAATATTAAGAAATTGATATTTAAATTTATCGAAAGACAAAGTACATGTCTCGGCGAAAAAGAAATGAAATGAAATGAAATGGAGTTTAACGTCCTACTGTTCTGCTCCTAACCTGGGCTAATGAAGACGGGCATACGCCATACAGTGTGCTATGAGGGAAATTTTGCCCGGACAGCGGCACTACGGCCTACTCTTATATCGAATTCCAACTGCCAAGGGATCTTTTACGTGCATTCCAATGTATACACGGGACCTCGGTTTTTCGTCTCATCCGAAGGACTAGACAGCTATCCTTGTCAGGCCCTCCGTCCTGCATCACTGACAAGGGGGAACCACGCCGGAAAATCTGGATGAACTTTCTCGGCCAATGCAGGGATCGAACACCCGACCTCCAGGCTAGCGAGCTAGCGTCTTACCCACTTAGCCACGTGATCCCCTCGGCGAAAAAGAACAAGATTATTTGTCTTTTTATGGTTTACCTAAAATACATAAGAGCACGCAAATACAGAATGAAATAAAGAATAATAGATCGGGTATAATTTAAATAGAAAATCCTACAGATTTAAAATTTAGACCAATTGGGGGAGGCTCTTACAATAGTTTTATTAGGAACTATCAGGGGCAGATTGGGGCCGGGAACCGGCCCGGGCTCCCGTGTCGGAGCGGCCCCTTTTACTGGACGCGGGGTCCGGGGGCTCTCCCCCTGGTAAATTTTGAAAAATGAATCCCAAATATGCGATTTGGTGGCATATCTGATTATAATCTCTGTCAAATAATATATCTGATAAATCGATTAATTTAGGTCAAAACCCCGACCTGCAAGTAATTTACAACCATCAACCTGTGAAATTGTCGGGTGAATCCGATGAAATTTTCGGATGAAATTCGGAATCCCCATTGCAGGATTCCGAATTCCGGCCCACACCCAGCACAACCGGCACAGAAAGTCTATTATACCAGCCCATTCCAGACTCCAGTGATGGCGTGGCGGCCCGTTAAAGTCACCGGCCACACACATGATCATC